CACTTTGGGAGGCCAAGGCGGGTGGATCACAAGCTCGGGAGTTCGAGACTAGCCTGACCGACATGGTAAAACCTGGTCTCTACTAAAAATACAAAATTTAGCCGGATGTGGTGGTGCGTGCCTGTAATCCCAGCCACTCAGGAGGCTGAGGCAGGAGAATCGATTGAACCCGGAGGCGGAGGTTGCAGTGAGTTGAGTTCCCGCCAGTGCACTCCAGCCTGGGTGACAGAGCGAGACTCTTTCTCTCTCTCTCTCTCTATATATATATATAATAAAATAAAATATAAATAATAATATTCAGGATAATGGCATATCTAATTCATCTGCTTTTATGGCCCAGGATGAACGTTTAAATGGAACCCGGAAATGAAACTCCTCGTTTTTCATCAGCTTCTAGTCCCAAGCTGACAGCGCCCCTAGAGCCTCCACAAGTGGGTCTGGCGCCATCTGGTGGTGGGATGCGCTGATGCTTTGCTGCCTGATGGACAGAAAACACAGTAATGAAGAAAACCTGTTGACTGAAATACACGCAGAGACTTAAACAAAGGACCGGTGACATTTGCAGCACATGACTCAGTAGCCTAAAAGTTCAAATTTGTTATTAAACATGCAAATTTGTGAAAGTTACAGAATATTTGGGACCATGCAAAGTGAAGATTGATAGGTGTGTGCACTTTAGGCATGAGGCATGTTCAGTTTGTAACTTTGTAATGAGATGCTTGTTCTTAGTATGGAATCCAGATGTTGTCTGCTGGTAATTTATGCTCCTGTGCAAAACGTGGGCAAATTGATTAATTTTTATCAATCTCATTCATCTTGTTCTCATCTGTAAAAGATGTCTAAGGACCCTTAGACGCTTTAAAAATTTTCAAGGAACCCCAAACATTGCAGTATTCTGATTTCCTCTGGTGATTTTATGTGCCTCACAGCCATGCTTTCTTCCATCCTCCAAGAGTTTAATGTTAACAGGAGGCGTGGAAGTAATACTAAGAATTGTCATTTATTGGATGCTGCTATGTTTTTTATACTATCTTAGGTAGTTTAACATTTTTAAAATTCTGGCTTACAAAAGTCTGTAACGTAAGTATCACTGTGCTCATTTTACAGATAAGGCATGTAAAGCTTACCGCACTCTGCTTTCCATGTTTACAAACTAAAAGATAAATGAGAAACAAGGAAGAAATATGCTAATTGTCTTTATAATTCAGCACGACACCGTTTACAGTGCATTTACAGCTCAGTGCAGTTTGCCACTTTCCACCAATACAAAATGTCAAGTATTCAAGCCACATCATCGCTCTGTCTTCACATACTGATAAAGCTGCTGCCACACCGAAAGTGTAGGAAGAGTTTTAAAAATGCATTTTCCAGGGTGCCAGGGGAAAACAAATATTTGCCAAGACCAGAGCTGGTATTTCACAAATCTCTTTTCTGTGAGCTGAGGAGTGAGGAGAGGTGGAGTGACAAGCCGTCAAGTGTAATGACCATGTCCCAGATGCTGATGCAAGGATGGTGAGTGGCAGAGGACTATTGGCAGCTGTCTCGGGCATGGCACCACAGCAGCACTCCGTTTCTGTTGACCAGTTTGTTTGGGTCTTCCTTTTAAAAGTCGGGCATCCTTTCCCAAAGAGTGCTCTGTAAGGTGTTCGTACATTTTATATGGAAAATAAAGCTTTTGAATGAAATATTATGAGAAATAAGTGGCTGAATACAGTTAAATGGGTTTCTTTGCTCTAGTATAGGATTTATTGAAACCTTTCATGTGTCAATGTGTACTTTTAACCTAATTTATAAATTGAATGTATTTTATTATATAAATTAAATACAGGTGATAGGGTTTGGCTGTGTCCCCACCCAAATCTCATCTTGAATTGTAGTTCTCATAATCCCCATATGAGTCAGGAGGGACCTGGTGGGAGGTAATTGAATCATGGGGGTGGTTAACCCCGTGCTATTCTCATGATAGTGAGTTCTCACAAGATCTCATGGTTTTATAAGGGGCCCCTTCTCTCAGCTTACATTCTTCTCCTTGCTGCTGCCATGTGAAGAAGGACATGTTTGCCCCTTCCACCATAATTGTAAGTTTCCTGAGGCCTCCCCAGCCATGCAGAACTGTGAGTCAATGAAACCTCTTTCCTTTATAAATTACCCAGTCTCAGTTATGTCTTTATTAGTAGTGTGAGAATGGACTAATCCCACAGGTCAAGGTTAAATAATTCAAATAACCCCAATAGCTGGGGAACTGGGGATAAGGCAGAAAATGTAACCTTTCTCCCAGAGCTAGCACTCCTTCAACCTAACTACTTTAGCAGACTTGTGTGTGTGTAAATTTCCAAAAACTACCCTAGTAGCATCACCTCGCTTATGTGGCATAGTGCATTAAATCTGATGAATGTTGAAATAATGCTCTGTAGACGTCAAACAGCAACCCTGGTCCACACTTACATAGGGCAACAATGAACCCAGTAACAGCTTCTCTTTTGAGGAGGGCTTGTGCTCTATAGGTGGTACACCCTCCTGCTGTTGCACCCTTAGGTCACCCACCTGGCTCCTTGAGACATTGGGGTTTGTTTCCAATGGTTGAAATGAATGATCAAACCCACACTGACTTGATATCCAGACATACTTTTCTAAATTATAGATATTAGTCATCAACATTTTAGGGCATAAATTATGTTTCAGAAGTCTGTTGAGAATTCCTACGCTGCTAAACACGGGAAAATCCCAGACCCTGATGCATTGCATCTTACCATTTGCTTTGTTTTGTTTTTTTGTTTTTTGAGATGGAGTCTCACTCTGTCGCCCAGGCTGGAGTGCAGTGGTGCAATCTTGGCTCACTGCAACCTCTGCCTCCTGGGTTCAAGCAATCCTCCTGTCCCAGCCTCCCGAGCAGTGCCCACCATCACGCCCGGCTAATTTTTAGTAGAGATGGGGTTTTACCATCTTGGCCAGGCTTCTCTTGAACTCCTGACCTCGTGATCCACCCGCCTCGGCCTCCCAAAATGCTGGGATTGCAGGCATGAGCCACCGGGCCCAACCACATCTTACCATTTTAATAGCAACATCTTTACTTTGTGCCTGGAACTTTACATACAGGAACTTCATGAATCCTCCCAGCAGCCCTGTAAAGGTAGGGGCATGTAATATCTTTGGTGTATAGAAGATGAACTGAGTCAGAGAGTAGTTAAGCAACTTTCATCCCTACACAACTTCCAGAATCTCTTAGTGACTCCTACTGTTTCCCCTAGTTAGCCTTTGATACTCTCCATGAGATCTGCTGTCAGAACTTCATCTGATCCTGATGCAGCCTTGTTGACCTATGGAATTTCCCCTCCTTTTCCAGTGCTTACCTCTCATTAGGACCCATGGGTCATTCCTCTGAGCATGACACACTGGGGCAAGTGTCTGTGTCAAACTCTGTTAGAAGTTTCTATATTAAGATATAAAGAGAAAGAAGCAAAAAGCAAACTTTTATGTACACTCTGACTTCAGTTATGGGAAATGCATGGAAAAGAAGGCTGTAAGGAAACACAGTGATGACATTGCATTAGAGTTGTAGGACAATGGATGTTTTTCTTCTATTTTCTTAGTTTTATGAAATATGGTATATCAGTTATTAAATGAGAAAGGTTTACCTTCTTACTAATTTAAATATTCCTTTCCAAAAACTGAAATACATCTATCAACTCAGATGGTTACCAGGCAATATCACAAAATATGCATTTTTTTTTTTTTTTTTTTTGAGATGGAGTCTTGATCTGTTGCCCAGGCTGGAGTGCAGTGGTGCGATCTCAACTCATTGCAAGCTCCACCTCCCAGGTTCACACCATTCTCCTGCCTCAGCCTCCCAAGTAGCTGGGACTACAGGTGCGTGCCACAACACCTGGCTAATTTTTTGTAGTTTTAGTAGAGATGTGGTTTCACTGTCTTAGCCAGGATGGTCTCGATCTCCTGACCTTGTGATCCGCCCATCTCAGCCTCCCAAAGTGCTGGGATTACAGGCATGAGCCACCGTGCCTGGCCAATATGCAATATTCTTTAAAATAGTTACCATTTATCAATTGCTTAATAATTGTATCTTACATATGTAACCTTGAACCCCTGTAAGAACTGACCAAAGCAGCTATTATTATTATTATTATTTTTTGAGATGGAGTCTCACTCTGTCACCCAGGCTGGAGTGCAATGGCATGATCTTGGCTCATGGCAACTTCTGCCTCCTGGGTTCAAGTGATTCTTTTGCCTCAGCCTCCTAAGTAGCTGGGACTACAGGTGCAAGCCATCACGTCTGGTTAATTTTTGTATTTTTAGTAGAGACAGGTTTCACCATATTGGCCAGGCTGGTCTGGAACTCCTGACCTTGTGCTATGCCCTCCTTGGACTCCCAAAGTGTAGAGGACTACATGCTCACAAATGAGACGTTCCCGATAAGTCCTGCTCTTGCAAACGAAGCAGGGCATTCCTTCCCTGCAAACGGGGAGGACAAAGGAGCCAGCTGCAAACAGCAGACCCTGGGGGCTGATTTATGTGTAAACATCTTGAAAATCCAGAAAGTCAGGGAATGGTCAGAAAAACAACAATGTGTCTTGTGAGTTGGCAACATTCCACAAACGACTGTATAAAATAAAGCAGAGCATGTCATTTGGGGTGGCAGCCATGTTTGTCTCGTCCTGTGTTGTCTTGTGTGTTCATTCCTTTGTTTAGGAAACACGTGGACCCCAACACAAAGTGCTGGGATTACAGGCATGAGCCACTGTGCCTGGCCCAAAGCAGCTATTATTATACACTTTTTGAAGCTGAGGAAACCAAGGCCTAGAGAAGGGCAGTGATTTTTTTTCCAAGAACACATTGCTGGATTTACATGGCCAGGCTCATGTTACTTCAAAGTGATCATCATCACCTAATCATTCATCTGGTAGAAACTTATTATTTCCATTTTCAGGGTACTCAGAAATTTTGTTACTGTATCAAGATCACAGGAAGAGTGTTTGAGACATCACCAGAATCTACAGCCTCTGATGGTGCTCCTGGGTTCAGCTTCTAGCATTACAGGCATGCTAGCTTGTCTCCAAGATGGCACCCATGAGCCCTAAATTCCTGGATTGATGCTCTTGCCTAGTCCTCTATTGTGTCATATCAGGGTTGTTCCAAGTAACCAATAGAACACAGCAGAGGTGATGGCATGTCACAAAGTTAGGTCATAAAGGACATCATGGCTTCCATGTTGCTGGCTTCCTCTTGGATCACTTCTTCTGGAGGAAACCAACCGTGTGTTGTGAGATTTAAGCAATCCAGGGTGAGAGCTACATGGTAATGAACAGAGGCCACCAGCGGACAACCATGCCGGTGAGGAATTTTTAGAGGCAGACCCTCCAGCCCCAATCAGGCCTTCAGATTGCTGCATCCCACATTGACTACAACATTGTGAAATGACACTGAGTCAGACTCATCCAGCAAAACCACCAAACTCCTGACCCACAGACACTGAGATAAATGGTGTTTTAAACCACAGAGTTTTGGGGGTAATTAGTCACACAGTGATAGATAATTGATAGACATTGCAGATAACTTGTCTCTTTAGTCCGCAAGACTTTAGACAGAGAGGAACTCTACTTGAAGATCTATTCTTAAAGAACTACACCTGGTCAGGCACAGTGGCTTATGTCTGTAATTCCAACATTTTGAATAGGCTGAGGCAGGATGATTGCTTGAGCCCAAAAGTTTGAGAACAGCCTGGGAAACATGGTGAAACCCCATCACCACAAGAAACTTTTAAACAATTAGCCAGTCATTGTGGTGTGTGCCTGTCGACCCAGCTACTTGGGAGGCTGAAGCAGGAGGATTACTTGAGTCCAGGGGTCAAGGCTGAAAGTGAGCTGAGATTGCACCACTGCACTGCAGACTGGGCAACAGAGTAAGACTCTGTCTCAATTAAAAAAAAAAAAAAAAGAACTACACCTGAGAAGACTTCTCTGTATTGGGATCTGATTTAAATAATTACATCCTGGACTTCAAACCTGTACATCCTGTACAAGTTTGAGACTTTGGGGAGGAGTTGAGAGGAATGAGAGTATTTTACATGTGGGAGAAAGAGAAATAATTTGTGGCCAGATGGTGGACTGTGATGATTTAAAATACAGCCACAGATTACTTAATATTCCTTTCAGAAGATGGAACATAGTTCCCCTTCACTTGAATGTGGGCCGTTCTTAGTGATTTGTTTGTAGCGAATAGAATGTAGAAGTGATTGTGTGTGATGTCAGAGACTAGGTCATAAAAGTGATGGTGTTTTCCGGCTTGCTCTTACTCTTGGATGATCTGCTCTGGGGAGAGTTGTGAGTAGACCTCCAGCCCACAGCCATGTGAGTGAGCCTCTCGAAGAGCGAATCTTCCAGGCCCAGTCAAGCCTTCAGGTGACTGCAGCCCCAATCAACATCTTGGGAGACCCTGAGTCAGAACCCCTGCTAAGTCACTTCCAGATCCCTAAGCCTCAGAAACTGTGAAGAAAAAAAAAATGTATGTGGTTATAAGCCCTAAGTTTGGGGCATAATTTATTATGTAGCAATAGATAATATGTCTGATATGGTTTAGCTGTGTCCCCACCCAAATCTCACCTTGAATCTTAGCTCCCATAATTCCTTCATGTTGTGGGAGGGACCCGGTGGGAGATAATTGAATCATGGCGTGGTTTCCCCCGAACTGTTCTCATGGTAGTGAATCAGTCTCACAAGATCTGATGGTTTTATCAGGGGAAACCCCTTTTGCTTGGTTCTCATTCTCTTCTCTTTTTTGCTGCCATATGAGATGTGCCTTTCACCTTCCACCATGATTGTGAGGCCTCCCCAGACGTGTAGAACTGTGAATCCATTAAACCTATTTTTTTTTTTTTTTTTTTTTGGTAAATGGTCATGTCTTGGATATGCTTTTATCAGCAGCATGAAAATGGACCAATACAATGTTATTGCTGAAAATTTAACTTTATAATATTTTCATATTTGGATGAGAAAAAAGATTTTAGATAAATCCAAGCAAACTCTTTTCATCCTAAGGTAACAGAAACAAAGTAAATTGCCCCTATTCTTGCTCCTATTTTGTCCAGTATAAGCCCAGAAATGCCGTTTGTCTTTGTTGTCTAATTTTTTTATTGTAGAAATGTATTCAATCACTATATTTAGTTTAGAGAACTTTGCTGTAAACAGAACATTCAAAAATTTTTTAAATATATATTTTCTGAATAGTTACTTTATGATGTACACTGGGCATCCAGTGGCTATAAAGATGAATGAGGTACAGTTCTTATCTTCATGGAATTTAATCTATTCATGGACTATTAAATAATTAAAAAACAATAATATATATTAAAGTACCAAATGATATATATCCATATATTCTAAATTGTCTATTACCGTTTTACTCCTGTCTTTTCAACTTAGCCCTTGCAACTGAGATCTTTCCTAAATTTTAAGTACGTTTTATTTTAAAATATCTTTTAGAGACGGAGTCTCACTCTGTCACCCAGACTGGTCTTGAACTCTTTGCCTCAAGCAATCCTCCAGCCTCAGCCTTTCAAAGTCCTGGGATTACAGGTGTGAGCCACCGCACCCAGCCAATTCATTTATTTAAAGCTGAATATACCACCAGGTGTGGTGGTGTATGCCTATAGTCCCAGCTAATCCAGCTACTCAGAAGGCTGTGGCAGGAGAATCCCTTGAGCCTAGGAGTTCTGGACTGCATTACAGCCTGGGAGACAGAGCAAGACCCCGTCTCTTAAATATATATATATTTATATATTTTAAAAATATATTTATATATTTTTATATATATTTATATATTTATGTATATATTTATATATATATATATGAAATACAAAGTTAAAAACTCACATATCAAAGTGTGTACTCCTGAATTCACACAGTGACACACCCATGTATCCACACAGTGACCCACCCCTGTATCCACAATTAGATTTGGGAGCAGAACATTACCCAGCCCATATCCTGAGGAGCTGTTATTTTGCCTTCCATCGCCATACAAAATTTTGCCAGTTTTTGAAATTTGTGAATGAAATGATATATATGATTTTTGGTTTGGATTCCTTACTTAAGTTATGCTTGTGAGATTTACTTTTGCTGTTCAGGGTAGCAGTAAATTCCCATATCTCTATTAAATTAAATTATATGAATATACTTATATAAATACACTTGTCCATTCTACTGTTGATGGATAACTTGATGATTTCCAGGTTTGGGCTATAACGAAAAGTACTGCTAGGGACATACACGTACATATCTTTTGGTATCATAGAATTCTTTTTATCTGGTCTACACTGGCAGTGGAATTGCTGGGTCATAGTGTACTGTCTTAGATTGGACTTTTAGCTCAGCTCTGTCTCCCTCTCTGTGTCCTTGCTGTCTGGCTTTTCAGTATCTCCTATTAGTGGGGTTTCAAGTTTTTCCACATCTTGTTCCACATCTGCAACAACATTTGCTATTATAACTCTTTTTTTCATTTGAGATGTTCTTGAGTGTTTTATTATTTATTTTTTACCTAGGTTTTCTCCTGTGCTTGATAAATCTGAAGGAATTAGAGAGAGAGAGACCGTGTAAAATATAAACTGCTCCTGAGTCTGAAATAGGATGCATTACAAGATGTAACAACTTGTTTGACAGACCCTTGTTCTCCCTGAACAACCAGATTTGTCCGAATTCCTACCTGGTTACCAAGTCGTTAGTTACCAGTTGTTTGTTGGTTGACTAGTTAGTATCAACTCAGCATTGGTCCGTTCTGTATGGATGTATATGTATATATATAAGACATATATTTAAATATATATAAGGATGTGTATTTAAACGTGCTGATGGCTGGGTGTGATGGCTCACACCTGTAATCCCAGCACATTGGGAGGGCAAGTTGGGAGGATCGCTTGAAGCCAGGAGTTTGAAGCCAGCCTGGGTGACATAGTGAGACCTCCTCTCTACAAACAAACAAAATAGCTGGGTGTAGTGGCACACACGTGTAGTCCCAGCTACTCAGGAGGCTGAGGCAGGAGGATCGCTTGAGCCCGGGAGATCGAGGTTACAGTGAGCTATGATTGCATCATTGCACTCCAGCCTGGGCAGCAAGACCCTGTCTCTGAAAATAAAATAATAATAATAATAATAATAATAATAATAATAATAATAATAAAAAATTGTCCTGGGCAGATGAGAACTTTGATTCAGCAGCCGGCTTTCATCCTCCAGAAGAGGGCAGCCTCATTCCATGTTTTGTCTGTAGCCTCCCTGCAGACACCTCCTCCCTCCTCTATTTGTTAAAGGGCAGGCTTTATTTGTTAAGCGCATTACAGCCTCCTGGGCAGCCAGGTGGGAACTTGGGAGGTATTTTTTCTCTTTGTTCTTTCTGGCTCTCTAACCAGATTCTAGCTAATTCCACCTGAGGTCTGGATGTGCCCTAGTTTCATTTCTAGACCTGCTGTCCCAGCTCCCTACTGTGTCTCCCAACCTCCTGCTGCAGACCCCTCAAATCTCAGACCCTCCCCTCCCCTCCCTCACCTTCTCTGTTTTCCAGAGGAATGTTTCCAAAGCACGTGCTCAAAAACGTTCCAAGGCTAGCATTTGAAGAAATAAATACATGTGATTAGGTTAAAGTCTAAATCCCCCGGTGGCATTCTTGACCGCTAAGAATCAAACTGCAATCCACTTCTCCACTTTCCTCTACTTGTACTCCCCTCAAAAAACCCACATTTCCGTGGAGTAAGCAGAACTAGGATTTGAACAACTTTAGATCCGAGTCTAAATGCAGAGCTCAATGTCTTTACTGTCTTTACTTTCCATCCATATGACCGTGGCAAGGAACTTAACCTCTATGAACCCTGGTTTTCATATCACTAGATGGGGCCCAGTGGTACCTGCCCCTCATGGTTGGTGTAACAAATAAACGTTGCTACGAATGTAAGAGTTCCTGGCATAAAGTGACCACATGATAAATGATACTGTCATTGTCATCATCATCAATTTACTTAATTTACTCTGAGCTTCGCTTCTTCTCTGCCATTGTCCAAATTCCCTGCTCTCCTGCCCTACTGAGATTTCGTCTTGTGAGGTCCAGCCTTT